GGGGGTTGGGGCGGGGTGGGGGGGAGTGAAAGCGGAAGCCACCAGGAGGTCCAGAACTCGAACTGCAGTCGGCTATGTGAAAGTCCAGTTTCTTCCTTAACCACCACTACACCTGCTGGACCCTTTTTTTTACTAATTTTTTAAAAAAGCATTGGTTTTTCTGTTGTTGTTGTTTTACTGCAAAATTAATACTTTTAATATATATTTAACAATTCATATATTTTTCTTTGGGTTATGTTTGATAGTTTGTGCCTTTCAATAAATGTTCCATTTCTTTCACCGTAGTAGGTATTTGGTCAATATCTGTCATAATATTCATTTATTTTCGTCTCATCTTTAAGGGTTTTTTTTAACTTTTTAAAATTAATTTTAATTATTATTTATTCATTCCATCACTATACATCATTTAGATTGTAAAGAGACTTTACCCAGCATGATATACACCTCGGTCCAGCCCAGTTGAAAATACATGTCATCAACAAATAATAAGCCATATCTGTGTCTCACAAATGTCTATCTCTCTATTTTTTTCCCAAAATTTCCTTTCCTATACTCTTCCCCTGCCACACCCTTTCCACTTTGGCTCTAGTGTCCATAATAATTTTTGATACTTGTATGTCCTCTAGTCTCAGTCTTTGCCATAGAGTGTGGACAGTTGGTATCATTAACAGCTCTGCCTGGCAGAGAGGATTAGAGAAGCTGTATGAAAAAATTCATACCATAAAATAACCTGGACTTTTTCCACTCAGCATTGTAATCAGTAGAGATTGCAAAAGAGCAGCCACAACCAGAGGATTAGTTTGAGGAAGACTTTGAAGGAAGAAAAAGAGACTGTACTTTGGTAATAGATGGTATATCACAGAATACTTAGGCAGGGCTGAACTGAGAAGCTTTATATGTAAATTGTGTGCTGGGTGTTTACTTTTCAACAGTTTGAGTAGTTGATTTGTAAATATTTTTTGAGAAAATATTTAAAACCATACTGTCTCTGTTGTTATAGAGACACAAACAAAATTTTAATAAATATTTCAAAAAAAGAGAATGATACCAACCGCATGAAATGTGAGTGTGTGTGTGTGTGTGTGTGTGTGTATTTAGAGAGACACAGTCACTTTAGCCAGAATGCCAGAGTCAGTGAGAGGGAAAGTGAGACATCACCCCCAAAGAGGGATGGTCACCCTGCAATCTCTTCTCCTCCATTCTTAACCTGGGATTTTGGGCATGCATGCACATATACCCACCATGAGTTTTAAGCTGCCAGGTATGGGATTCAAACCACGGTCAGCCATGTGGGAGTCCAACACTGTAATCACCACTCTACCTTCTGGCCATGATAGTTCCATTTTTAGTGTTATCAGAAACCTACATGCTGTTTTTATAATGACTCTGCAAATTTGCATTCTCATCAACAGTATACTAAGGGTTCCCTTTTCTTCTTTCCTTTTAAGAAGAATTTTTTCTTAGGCCAGCCTCAAATCCCTAACCACTTGCTTCAGCCTCTTCAAGTTGCTGGGATTATATACTAACACCACTACATCCACCCTTTATGTTGGACTGGAAATTACACACATGCCTTCCAAATGGTCTCTGAATTGTGTCTTAGCATTGTGCAACACCACAGTTAGGCCAGGGTTTTCTTTTCTCTACATCCTCAGCAACACTTAATCTTTTTAATGGTTGTTATTCTAACGAGTGTTGGTGGCATCTTATTATGCTTTAAATTGCATATCTCTAGTGAATAATGATGTTGAATATTTTTTCATATACCTCTTGGTTGTTTTTGTATGTCTTCTTTTGATAAATATCTCTTCAGGTCCTTTGCCCATTGTTTAATTGAGTTGTTTGTTTTCTTCCTATTAAATTCCTTGGATTCCTTATATATTTTGGATATAAATCTGTTGGGTTTACAAATATTTTCTCCAATTCCATAGATTGTCTCTTCACTCTGTTGATGGTAATCATGGTCATGTAGAAGATTTTTAGTATGATGTAATATTGGAGGGGTGTCATATTCAAAAAATCTTTACTCGGATCAATATCAAGAAGATTTTCCATTTTCTTCCAGTAGTTTTACAGTTTCAGGCTTTATGTTGATTTCTTCAATCCAGTTTTATTTCTTTTGTACACAGTGAGAGATAAGGGTCCAATTTCATTTTTCTGCATGTAGATACCCAGTCTTTTCAACATCATTTATTTAAGAGATTGTTCTTGTCAGATTGTGTGCTCTTGTCATTTTTGTCAAAGATCAATTAACTTTAAATGACTAAATTTATTTCTGGGTTCTCTATTCTGTTCCATTGGTGTACACTCATGTTTGTATATGGCCTCATTTCATCTTGAATATTATAGCTTTGTAATGTATTTTGAAATCAAGTATGCCTCCTGGTACCTCTAACTTTGTTCTTTTTGCTCACAATTGCTCTTGCTTTTGTGGTTCTGTACAAATTTCAGAATTTTTTTTTCTGTTTTCAAAAAAAGTCTTTAGAATTTTGATGGAAATTGTATTAATTCTTGATTGCATCAGATAGTATGAACATTTTACCAGTATTAATTACTATAGTCCATTAACACGGGGGTATCTTTCCATTTATTTGTATCATCTTTAATTTCTTTCATCAGTGTTATATAAGTTTTTGGTATATAGCTCTTTTACTTTCCATTAGATTTTTTTCCCCAAGTATTATTTGTTTATTTGATGCTATCGTAATGGAATTGTGTTCTTGATTTATTTTTTGGATAGTTTGTTGGTAATATATAGATATGCCACTGATTTTTGTATACTGATTTTGGGTTTTACTGAATTCATTTATTAATTCTAACAGTTTACTTACTTATTTGACAAAGTCATTAGAGTTTTCTATATATAGATTATAGCACTTGCAATCAGATTATTTTACTTTTCCCCTTCTAATTTGAATTTTTTTTTTTCTTGACTAATTTCCCTGGCTCAAAACTAGAAATGTAATGGTAGATGTGGTGAGAGGGGGCATCCTTGTCATTATTTCTTAAATATATTGATCATGTAATTTTAGGACTAATAGTTTCAAGATTATGTTCTTGTTTTGGACAGGTGAACTGAGATACTTCTGTGTCTGCCATTGGATACAGGATTTCATTAGATTTCGTGAGTGGCAGGACACACTTGGGATGCATTTTCTAGATGTTTATTTAGAGGGGCTTGGAATCTCCTTAGAGTGGTTCATATTTGGGACGCAGAAGTAACTCAGCACCAATCATGATGTAAGCAAGGAGTTAATTTCTCAGTTTATGGTTCTGGTGGAATAAGCAAGTATCTGGTCTATTTTCCATCAGGAAGCCAGTTGCTTTTAGCCTCGGATCTGCCACACTTGCCCTCTGGCAAGTCATTCCAGCTTTTTGTACTTCAGCATACTCTTCCAGAAGAACAAGGAGGTTGCTTTTCTCATGCCCTTTCTAGTTCCAAAATGTTGTAACTATTTTAGGTGAGGTATACAGTATTTTAGATATTCGGCAACGCAGGGCCTACTTATATCTCACTGAACTGAGAAATCATCTATTATTGGTCACTTTCTTTTAGGCAAATTACACCAAATCTGACCACTGTTCTTTGTCCTTATTCTATGTCATTTATTCTCAGAAAATCCGTAGTACTTTAGATATAAGAGTTGGCAGTACTGGGACTAGCAGGTAGTGTTAAAGCGCTGGACACTCCCACATGGCCAACTGTGGTTCAAATCCCAGACTTGGTGGCTTGCTTTCTCACTTTCTCCTCCCTCTCCTTCTCTCGCTCTCTCTGGTCAAATTAAAATAAATGAATGAATAATTTAAAAAAAAAAGAGTTGGCAGTACTAAGCCTTCCATTCAGAGCATAGTAGTTTTAGTTCATAACTTAGTTTACTGAGACAAGTGACATGCATAATAGAATTGGTATATGTTTGTTTATGAGATCACTGTGTCTGCCAACTGGGTTCAGAACGAAGAAAACAGAACTGTATTTCACCACGTCTACAAAACAGAAATTACTTTTGTTTTAAAAGTGTGTGTGAGGGCCAGCAGTTAGCATAATGGCTACGTCGACGTCGCTGAACTCCCATGTAGTTGACGGTGGTTTGAGTCCTGGACCCGGTAGCTTAAACTCACGCTGGGCGCGTGTGTATGCGTGCCCAAGATCCCAAAAGGAGAATGGAGGAGAAAGGATTGCGGCATGACCATCCCCCCTGGGGGGTGATTTCTTGCTTTCTATCTCTCTGTCTGTCTCTGTCTTTCTGGCAAGCACACGCACCCTATAGCAAAAACCTCTCCCAAAAAAAAAAAGCGTGTGTGTGTTGGGTTTTTTTATATAAAATTATTTATTTATTTATCCACTCATTTATTTTTAAATTTGACCAGAGAGACACACAGAGAGAGAGAGAGGGAAAGTGAGAAAGCAAGCCACCAGGTCCGGGACTCCAACCGTGGTCGGCCATGTGGGAGTGTCCAACACCTTAACTACCACGCCACCTGCTGGCCCCCGTGTGTGTGTTTTTTAAGTTTTAAAAAAAATTTTCTGACTTACAACTGTGAGATAGAGAAAATTTTTTGAACAACCAGCAATTTATCTGGTTTAAAAATTGTTTTTTGCTATGGGGGGGGGTTCTCTGTTTCTCTGTGATCAAACTAGAAAATAATAATACACAAAGTTAAATTTTTAAAAATCTTAAAAATAATAAAAGAAAAGAAGAAAAATTAGCTGTAGGGCATGTGTTTTTGCCAGAGAGAGAAACGGAGAGAGAAAGCAGCCCCCAGGGTGGAGTTGACCACACCACATTCCCTTCTCCTCCATTCTCTTCTTAGGATTTTAGGCATGCACACACACATAGCTGGCGTGTTTTTCTTTTATTTTTCCTTTCTTTCTTTTTTTTTTTTCTTTTTTTGGAGAGGGCTTTTTTTTTTTTTTTCCGCTATAGGGCGCGTGCGTTTGCCAGACAGATAGAGAGAGACATAGAGACAGAAAGCAAGAAATCACCCCCCGGGGGGGATGGCCACGCCGCAATTCCTTCTCCTCCATTCTCCTTTTGGGATCTTGGGCACGCACTCACACGTGCCCGGCGTGAGTTTTAAGCCACCGGGTCCGGGATGCGAACCACGGTCAATTACGTGGGAGTCCAGCGACATAGCCATTACACTAACTGCTGGTTCCCAGCTGGCATGTTTTTCAAGCAGCTAGGTCCAGATTCAAACTGTGCAGTCGGCTATGTACACGGATTCAGCCACCTTAACTACCATACCACCTGGCAGGCCTGGTGCTATTACTATTTTTGTTTTTAAAATTTTGGTAAATGTATAATGATACTGACTGTGGTCTTAATTTGTATTTCCCTAATGACTAATTGTGTTGAACATCTTTTCATGTGTTTATTTGCCACCTGCATGTCCTCCTTAGTGAAATGTCGCTTTTGTTACAAATGAATTTCTGTCATGGCCTTCCTTTACCATATTTACTTTCATTTTAGTAAATTGTTTCATGTTCGACCTGTAACCCAAGGAGATGTGTATAGAGCTGAAACTGAAGAAATTCCTAAAATATTCCAGGTAAAATCTAAAATTTATCATTTTAAAGGATCTTTTACTGAAGTGTCAAGTGTTTTGTGAAGTAAACCAATGCTTTTATACTTTTGAAACTTTCATGGACAGATTAAGGGTTTTTTTTTTTTCTCTCTCTCTCTCGTCTCATTTATTAAAGAAACAGTAAGTAAAAGATATAATGCAAGAAAAACATCATCCTTTCACATCAGGCAGAACAAAGTACAGTGATTTCTCTCCTTCATTCCTCCCACCCACCCCAATTCCCATATTCCCATCCACATCAGTTTAAATTTTGAGGTTCTTTAATTGGGATTACCAGTGGAGAAGGGAGCTGGATGAGTAGAGGTGCCTTAAATCTGGCCACCTCTTCAGCCCAGGAGCAGGGAGCTGCAGGCCCAGACAGTCAAACAGAAATAATATTTGGAGGATCTTCGAAGTGGTTGTTTACCTCCCTGTTCTGTGTCCAAACCCCTAGGGAAGGGTGTGGCAATAGAGGGCGACCAGGTCCCAGCTTCCCAAGTGAGAGCTAATAAAGTACGGTCCGTTCACCACTGCCCTGTTTCTTGAGAGCATGAGCCGATTCTTCAGTGGTGAGGAGGGGACTACATGTGAATTGGGCCTGCAGGCCAATGTATCACTAAGGAAAAGTCCACAACAACAATTCAAGAAACTAGTAAGAAACAAGGGCAGAAAGCTGTGAGACCAGAGCACAACAAGCTTCGGGAAGGCTGGAGATCCTTACCCTCAAAGCCAGGATCATTCCCACCTGTCATAGTCCATCTCCCACCAATGACATTTTACCTGAAGTCAAGAAAAAAGCAGAAGGAAAAACTGGCTCACGTAAACTTGAGCCCAAGCTAGGTTCTTTAGACCACAGCTGCCCATCTGCCCTTTTGCCTAAGAAACAGACCTTGCCCAGAACCACAGTGCCCAGAAACCAAGGTGGCCTGGAGGGAAAATGGTGTTTAAGGGGGTAGCATTCCATTTGGATACATTGCAGCCATTGGGCCCACTGGTCTGGGGAAAGCAGCTGGGCTTGTGCCAGGAAGGTTCCCCACGCTAGTAAACAAGACCAAACTCTTGCCTGCAGGGCCATTCATCCTTGGAAAAGAAGCTGAGTTTAAACCCAGGGGTGCGGTTGGCCTCACAAAAGGAGCTGGGTTGAAACCCACAGGGCCTGCTGGAGAAGCACCCAGGTGCTCAGCAGCTGACCTAGGAAAGCAACCTGACCAGGGCCTAATGAGTCAGTAAACCTTGGGAAGGCAATTGAACTTGGACCCTGTAGGCCAGTGGCCCTTGGGAAGTTAGTTGGGTTGGGGCCTAGTGGACCAGAGGCTCTTAGGAAAACTGCTGGACTCGAGCACTGGAGGCCAGCAGACCTTTGGAAGGTAGCTGGGTTTGAAGCCAGTGAGCCTGATGAAGTTGGAAAAGGTGATGGGTTCCTTGGAAATGGGGCCAGATTTCCACCAAGAGAACCAGCTGCCATGAGGAAAGGATCCAAGTTCACATCCGGTGGGTGGCCTGTGTTCAGAACAGGACAACCCTGTGATCCCAGGGAATTGTCGAGCTGTCCTCAAGGGGGCAGCGGAGTACGAGTCCAAGGGATTGGCCACTCTCTAGGGAAAATCTGAGCTTCTTTCCTACTTTCTTGGGGACGTTAGAGATAATTGGCTTGGAGCAGGTTTTGAAAAGGATCTTGTTTTTGATGAGCGTTGTCACCAGGTACTGGGTGCCAGTCTCGCGGCCAAGCTCATCACAGTCCTGCTCCCCAGGAGTGTTTGACAAGGACTGCAAAAGGTTTCTCCAATGGGATGACTTTCCCATACAGGATAGGATGCTCCACGATCAGCACAGGGATTCCCTCGGTGTACTGTACCCAGGAGGTTTCCAGCTAATCTGGGCTGTAGCGAGCCTTGATCTCCCCCTGTAGCTCCATCAGCACCCATTCTCCCAGCCTTCTATCCCCCGCACTGGAAGTAATAATTTGTACCATGAGCTTTCTGTCTTTAAAAAGCAACTGAAAATAAGCTTGAGGTTCAGACCCCCGTTGCTCCCTGCTCAGTCCTCTGCCCATGCTCAGTCACCCTTTCCCTGATTAAGTTTTTTTAATCTTCTTCCTTTCACTATTCCTGATGTAGATATTATATGCGAATGAAGGTGAATGTAGAAAAGATGTAGAAATGGAACCAGTACAGCAAGCTGAAAAAACTAATTTCCAGAATCACAAAGGCCATGAGTTCATACCTACACTCTACCACTTTCCTGCCAACTGTGAGGCCTGTGCCAAACCTCTCTGGCATGTATTTAAGCCACCTCCTGCTCTAGAGTGTCGGAGATGCCATGTAAAGTGCCATAGAGATCACTTAGATAAGAAAGAGGACTTAATTTCTCCGTGTAAAGGTAAGGCATGATGATTATTTTTATATCTTACAACAAATTTAGTTTTAAATTCCAGTGAAATAACTTGTCTAATATAGTGATTTCTGTACCAAGGTGAAAGAGGTTATAATAAGAATATTTTGACACTGATAGAATGACATGCAGCTTTTATTTCATAGCTACAAATTTAGCTTTAAACATAATGTTTCTTATTTTGGTTTTTGGGGTTTGTTTGTTTGTTTTCGTTTTCTATAGGGCATGTGTGCTTATCAGGGGTATAGAGACAGACAGACAGAAAGTGAGAAATCATCCCACCCCCGGGGGTAGGGGACGACCATGCTGCAGTCCCTTCTACATTCTCCTCTCAGGATTCTGTGTAAACATGCACAGATTCCTGGCATGGTTTTCAAGCCACCAAGTCTAGGACTTGAACCATGCAATTATCCATGTGGGTTCCAGCCACCTTAACTACCACACTACCAGCTGGTCCCTAAACATAATGTTATTTTAAAGATACTCACTCCCTTAAAAAAAAAAAAAAAAAAAGAAAGAAAGAAAGAGAGAAAGAGAGAGAAAATGCCACTAAGATAAGAAATTGTTTTCATTTGGAGGGAAGAGCTGTATGGTTAAGTTTTCCTATATTGGCCTTTGAGATTTTACCTCTTGCTTGTCTTTGTCTTTTTGTTTGGCTTTCACTTCCTGGACCACCATGCTTATCATAGACGAATGTTTTTGGGCCAGCCATTGGTGTGGTGGTTGGGGCAACTGGATCCCACACGGCTGAGTCTGTGGTCCTAGTCCTAGAACTAGTGGCTTGAGAAACAGAAGCATGTGTGTGCATGCATGAACAAAATCCCAAGAGGAGAATGGAGGTGTAGGGATTGCAGTGTGACCATCCTCCTGGAATATGATTTCTCATTTTTCCTTTCTCTCTCTCTCTGAGAAGCATACTCACACTGTAGCACATTTAAAAAATAAATATTTTGTAGCATAGGAGAGCTAGCTTGAGAGAAAGGGGAAAGAATACAGACTGTTAACTATTTTTAAGATAAGAAGCTTATGTTCTATAAATACATGTTTTGTTTAGCTTTTTTTGTATTTTTGATACTACTTAGTAATATTTTCTTTTACATTTTAGTCTTAAGGAAAAAGCAGTATTTTTATTATTTAAGCTTAATTAAGCAAGTAAATCTTTTAAAATTTTAAGAACTAAAAAACTATGCATTTGATAAGGTTTTTTAATATTATGTGACTTTAATCTTTTTTTTTCCCCTTTACATAGTAAGTTATGATGTAACATCAGCGAGAGATATGCTGTTGTTAGCATGTTCTCAGGATGAACAAAAGAAATGGGTCACTCATTTAGTAAAGAAGATTCCTAAGAATCCACCATCTGGTTTTGTTCGTGCCTCCCCTCGAACGCTTTCTACAAGATCCACTGCAAATCAGTCTTTCCGGAAAGTGGTCAAAAATACATCTGGAAAAACTAGGTGAGGATCAAAATGTTAACCTTTTTAACAGTATGAAAGTAACTGAATAACATGGGGACTAGCAGTTGGCATAATGGCTATGTCGCTGGACTGCCATGTAGGCGACTGGTTTGAGTCCTGGACCTGGTGGCTTAAACTCACGCAGGGCGCATGTGCGTTCGTGCCCAAGATCCCGAGAGGAGAATGAAGGAGAAGGGATTGCAGTGTGACCATCCCCACTGAGGAGTGATTTCTCACTTTCTGTCTCTGTCTTTCTGGCGAGCACATGCGTCCTATAGCAAAAACCTCTCAAAAAGAAAAAAAAAAAAGAAAAAGAAAGTAATTGAATAACATGTATTGAAATTAGAAGTCTAATTGTTTTTATCACAGAGGCATCATTTGTAGCCAGGTCTTTATTTTTTTATTATTATTATTATTGTTAATATTATTTTTAACATGAATTTTGCCAGAGAAAGACAGCGAGAGAGAGAGAGGGAAGGAGGGAGAATGAGAAAGCAAGTCACCAGGTCTGGGACTCAAACCATGGACGGCCATGTGGGAATTCCAGCACCTTAACCACCATGCCGCCTGCTATCCCGCCAGGTCTTTATATATGACCAGCTACTTTTTTAGTTTAACTGGAGCCAGCAGGTGACATGGTGGTTAAGGGTACTGGCCTCCCACATGGCTGAGCATGGTTTGAGTCCCAGACCTGGCAGCTTGCTTTCTTACTTTCTCTCTCTATTGCTCTGTTCCTCACTGGTCAAATTAAAATAAATAAATAAAGTTAAAAAAAATAGTTCTTTAAAAAAAAGTTCTTCTCTCCCCTCCCCTTTAAAAAAATTAGTTTAACTGATTCTTATTAAATATTAACAACATTGAGCCAGCAGGTGGCATAGTGGCTAAGGCACTGGACTCTCACACAGCTGACTACAATTCTAGTCCTAGACCCAGCAGCTTGAAAGTTATGCCGGGCACATGTGCATGCATGCCCAAAATCCTGAAAGGAGAATAAAGGAGAAGGGATTGTAGCATGGCCATGCTCTGTGGAGGGTTATTTCCTACTTTCTCACTGTGTCTGTCTCTCTCCAGTGAGCACATGTACTCTGTGGCAAAAATAATAATAATAACATTTAAATTCAAATATTTAGTTCCATATCTATTTTTATTGCTGTAAGTTGATAAGCATGACATGTATTTAGGTCTTTTAATGTTTTAGCCAATTTGCGGTTAATATTTCTTGATGAGAATACATGAATATAAAACATAGCTCAACTTTTCTTGATTTTTATTAACCATGTTGGCATAATTATTTTTGAAAATCAAAGCCATTTGGCATCATTAGTGTTATAAACTCAGTAAAGTCTAATCTTTAAAATTTTCACAGATTTTTTTAAGAAAACATTTTATATGATGTGATACAAAATTACAGGACATAATTTAACTTTTTAAAATTTTTCTTCAGTTATTTGCTATAGGCTATACACTTATCAGACAGAAATAGAGAGGGAAAGTGAGAAATCATCCCCCAGGGAAGATTGCCACGCCATCTTCCTTTTTCCCTCAGAGTTTTGGGCATGCACCCACGTGTGCCTGGCATGTCCTCCAAACTGCCAAATCCAGGACTTGAACCATGTAATTGTCCATGTGGGATCTAGCACCTTAATCATCACACCACCTGCTGGCCCCAACTTAACCCTTTTTTAAAAGTTATGATACTAAGTTCTCATTTTACAGATTAATAAATGTAGCTTAGAGAAATTAAATAACTTGCACTAAATTAGCCAATAGATTGGAACCCATTTTTATCGAATTCTAAAGCCTTTTTTTCACTCCTATTCCAATACCAGTTTTCCTTAGAGTAAAATCACTAGTCAGAGTGATCATTTGAATCTAGAAGCTGAAATCTAGCACTGATTGGCCTCTTTGTCACCCACTTATTTCAAGTAGGCTTAAAACCATCTTTTATTTATCCACCCCTTTTTTAACTACCTTTTCTCTGTAGCCAAGTCTTTTTCTTTAAAATGACTCATGTTCTTTCCTTCTTGTATATTCATAGCCACCATACTACTCCAGCATATTATCCCTTCACTCCTAACCTAATTCTCTATAGTGCCAAATCAGCTGTTCCCTGGGTAATGGAGTATAAATTGGATTAAGATGATTTAAAATAAGATTGTAGGTCAGTAAGAAAATGTGTTTGAGGGACCAGCAGTTAGTGTAATGGCTATTACACTATGTAATACGTCACTGGACTCCCATGTAGTTGACTGCGGTTCGAGTCTTCAACCCGGTGGCTTAAACTCACACCAGGCACGTGTGCATGCGTGCCCAAGATCCAGAGAGGAGCATGGAGGAGAAGGGATGGCGGCATGGCCGTCCCCCCGGGGGGTGATTTTTTTTTTTT